CTCGAGTTGAGCAATGACCATGTAGTTGCCCCACATTTGTTTCCATACTTTCCACTTGTCCGCCACATTCCCAGTGGTAACTAGTTTTCCAGGAGGCATTATCCCGGCCATCGCGCCAAAGGTGGGTCCAAATAAACATCCAAGTGAATGAAGATTTTAGATATATGAAAATTCACATATTTCCAATTCATTGACCAGCTCCCAGTTGGCTTGTTAGCTCAATTGGTAGAGCGCTGCACCGGTATCGCAGAGGTCATGGGTTCAAATCCCGTACGGGCCTGAAATTTTTTTTCAGGTCCTATTTACAACTACTCGTTTCAGTAGTGTTCTTAGCTGCGAGGATCTCCTAATTTCACATGGATTTGCATTGCTTTTAAGGTGTTAGTGGGTGAAAGCTAGAGATATTCCCGCGAGTTCAAGGCAATCCGCGACCTCATTAGTGTATAAAATTTGAACCGATATGCTTTTAACTCGATATGCTTTAAGCCCGATTAACGCCTGCATTTTGAGAATTCTTTCGTACAAATTAGGGAATTTTTGACATGCAAATCAAGGTCGAAGAGAAAGGTCTCCTCTGATCACGCTGGTACGAAAAATGTTTGGCTGAAGTTTCCATATTTTGTCTGTGAACTAACTGAATACATCTTGTAACTTGTAGCAAGATTTCCGTGAGCTATATTATTGCAGTCGCTGCGTGCTGGACAAATCTGTGACATTTACACTTTCTATCGCTGTCCACAGGGGTGGTCTGGCCAAAAATCATTTTTAGCTTGTGGCGACACAAAAAAAGAGAATTGGAGAATAACTAAACTATTTTTGAAACATGTGTCCTAAACCCTTTTCATTGGCAAAAAAAAACTTTTTTTCCGACGGGAAGTCGAGAGCACCGCTCTTAGCGAGAGGAGCACTTAAGTGTGATCAGCATCAGCAGCATTTGAAAGAGTTGCGATAGACATACAATTGTGAGTGCTACAGGGAAGCTACCTGATTATTTTCATAGGACGATTGATGGTCTTCATCACGACCTTCTGTCGTATTATAATTTTCGCTCCTTCCACAAAGCAGTGTTTTCATATTAGTAACTAAACTTGACCAATAGCTAAAATAACGATTACGAAAGTCCCTTATGTCATCCAAAGAGTCAACAGTATAGTTCAAAAGGCAGGAGGAGACACCAAACCTAACCATCCATGGCAAAGTTAGGGCCAGGCCTGGGACAATTACGCCATCTGCGCCGGAGACTTCCCCTTGATCCAGCTTTCTTTGAAGTGCCTCAAAGGGAACATAGTCTCATAGTCTCCAAAACCAATTGTTGTAAAGGTAGTAAACCAGGCGTATAAGCTGGTCATAAAACTCCATCCCTCTGAGTAAGTGGCCGACGCGGCACACAATATGTGAAGAGCAACTGCTAATAAACTCGCAGCATGTTCTTTACATTACCCTTTTAGAGGAGATATTCGAGGAGGATATTCGTTTCTAGAGCCCTGAATAGATTTCTGTTATCCTTTCCCTCGATGAATGATCTCAGTTACTTTACCTATTGTTGTGATGGCTGTGAAAACAAAGTCGAGGCTATTCCAGAAATTCCAATCCTTTTCGTCTCCTGTTGTCATGGCGACAGGAGCTCTCCTCACAAAGCTGTTAAATTCGTTGTCAGTGATATTAAACTTAATCTCAATGTCTGCCCTTAGATCTTTCAACATCCTTTCCATTCTGTTGTTAGCAAACTCGCTTCTTTGCTCGATAATGGTAAAAATCCAAGCAATGAAACTCGCATATGCATAGAATACTGCAAAACGCAGCAATGTCTTTCGAAGTAATGGATGCATTATCTATAAATGGAGAGAACATGTTTACAATAGTGATGGGAAAAAATAAAGCTGTGAACATAGCATCGTGTTGGACATTACAGCGTTGACGTGATACTCCGCAAGGCGATTTCTTCTATTTCTTTCATCCAAGAGGAAGGGGCATGAACTTCGCTCTATTAATCGACCGTACATGTGATTATTTGAACTCATACATCGACATGCCCGAACACGTTTACATAACAAATCAACAAACAGTTCCCAGGAGTTGAAAATCTTCGAAAACATTCAGAAATTTACTAGCAGGAGGCTTGCTGAATATCCATAACATCTCCTCCAAATCATACCTTTCATACCATGTCATCCATATCATGTCTGGATCAAAGACAGTCAGAAATCTCGGTCATACAAACAAAAAAGCAGGTCGAGACACACGCACTACAGAACCCGCTAACGCTTCTAGGTAAGGAAAGTTCCTATCCCTTTTGCGACGCGCTTTTGTGAAGATTTTGGGCACTGTCTTAATAAAACTTAAACAGAAACGTCCACAATAAAATTTAAAGGTATCATCATTTTTTCTTTAACTTAGCTAAGATGGGCATGTAGAAACTAAAACACTGACCTGCACGAGATATTATTTCCACGCAGAGAAAAACAATGACTTCGTGTTTTGCAGAACGAAGCAGATTGTTTGTTTCAAATGCAAATCATTAATACATTGTGTTCATCACCAGATCACTGTCATTTGAGAGGTCTCGAACAGATAAACATCGCTGTTGATGGTATCAGTAGAAAATTCAGATATATGTTAAAATTCATTAAAAAAAACAAGTTAATAGATAATTCAGTGTCCACAAACACATAGTTTGCATGCTCACTGAAACGAGCAGAGGTATTAGTCCGCCAAAAGAATGTTGTGCTGCGAGTACAGGCAGGTGAAACTTGCGCATTTTCAATTTTCTTGAGGCTGCATAAACAATTGAGAAAAGTTTCCACGTTTTATTCTTAATAGATTAAAACGAATGAAATATGTTTTAAGTCAACTAAAGAATTAGTTTTGCTGTTCTCCAGCTATAGGAAATATCCTAGTCTGAAACTTGGCCTCGGCTAAGGTGAGAATTTAAGAAATCCAGTTTTATATCAAGATAAAAGATAACCGCACGCAAAACTAGAACATAGGCTACAAAATTTACAGGTTTGAATAGTTAGTCAAGATTATTTTCTTTGTATGCTGAATTGAAATTGCTACCAAACGACTTTCAAACCTAACTGGTGTTTGATACAAATATTCGCTTTCCTAGTTTATTGGATCATTTACTTAATAGGCAGTGTAATAACAGCATATAGACTTATCTCCAAGATATCCTTAGTAAGAAACAGTGTAACCAGCCTGAACAATCTTTCACCAAGTACGTTTCAATTGTTAAAACCATAGTCAGAATTTTAACTAAAGTCTAATTGACTGATTTTCAAAAACTGATCCAGCATCTCGATTGCGCTGTTCTGGTGTAACAACATAGCTTACACATCGACCGCAAACTATCCTTGAGCAGAACTCCCAACAGCGATTACGAAAACTTCGTATTTCACCCAGAGAGTCGACGACACAGTTTGAGAGACAGGACATGATGCTCAGTCCAAATATTAAAGGTAAACCAACGATGATAGTGTCAACAATGAAGCTGTTTTCCCAATATTTTTCTTGGTGAACCTTTTTCTGAAATGGTACATAGTCCCCGAAACCAATTGTTGTGAAAGTAATAAACCAGGCGTATAAACCCTCTGTGAAACACCATTGTTCTTGGAAGGTAGATAACGTGGCCGCAAATGCGAGAAGTGTTAACATCAAAACACACGTCGCAAGAAACGTTTTTTTCTTAATATGTTTTGATTCCTCTCTCTTTAGGATAACTTTTTCAGCTTTGATAACAAGGAACCGAAGACAAGACGCAACAAGTTCTCCCGTAGTTTTAAAGGTCAGCATGCACAAAGGAATACCAAGAATACAAACTATGATGGTTATCAGTTGCCCAAGACGTGTTTTAGGTGTTATATTTCCATATCCTACATAAAATCAAGCAACCACAGTTAAGTGAATAATATAAAAAATAAAAAAATGAATAAATAGAGAAATATCAAAGAGAAAGCGAGGAGAATCACGCATCATTGTTACCTGGGGTTTACTTTATATTTGTACGTTGTTAGTTTTTAGTTTGGTTTTTAAATCGTTTTATTTTTACGTTATGCCTTGGCTTTTTGCTAATTCTCTGTTTATCCTCCTTCTTCCTTGATCGAAGATATAATCCTATTTTCGATATTTTTCTTATTCTTGCTGACACGATAAGATCTAAACTTAGACATGGTATGGCAGCAGTCCACATGGTTATAGAAATAGACCGGCGTACCTCTTTACACTTGTAGCTTGAATGTTTTGTTTACCCATTTCACTTCATGTGATAATACCGAAGAAACTGTTTCTTACAAAACGTGTTCACATGCACATGTACACAAAATTAACAAAAAGTAAAATTGAGAATACTGTTGAGACCGGATATTGGTAAACAATCCTGCAGACTGAAGAGGTCTATTTGAAATCCGAGCTCTCCATTCTCTTTTTGAGCTGACCTCGCTCATAGAGTCGTATCATGTCATTTTTTAGTCCGAACATTTATTCAAGGTTATCTTTGTACAATTACCTACTGTCGATAGAGTTGTTGCCACGAACATAAAGCTGATAGGAAAAGTCCAGTCTATTTCATCCCCAACCGAAAAGACTTCTTTGGCTCTCCTTGAAAAATTCATGAACTCATATTCTGTCATGTTGTATTTATTCTGCATGTCTGTTCTTAGATCCTTCAACATCCTATCCTTTCTGTCATGGACTGATTCATCCTGGTGCTCGATATAGGTGAAGACCCAAGCAACGGCTAATGTATAACCATAGTATATTGACAACCTCAGTAACACCTTTCCCAGTAAAGAATTCATTTATCGACTCTGAAAAAAAGCCAAATATTGAATGTTATTTTTTTTCTTTGAGACCTTTTTCCCTTCTTTTTTTCCTAACGAGGCTTAAAAGTTTCCTCCCTTACTCGTATTCTTTATTCTCATAAATATTTGCAATTTAAAAGTTATCAGATCAGAGACTTTGTGCTCCCGGTGCATTTTTCATGGGTAACCAAATTTTCTATCAACCAGGTAATTTAAACATTACGTCCTTTATCAGCGACACTTTCAAGAAATAGCGCCTTTGAGTTTAGGTTTATCTATAATTATTTGTCGAGTGATGAATAATTGAAGATTGTCATGAAAATTCAGTCAATGTGTTTCCACCTGCTCATTTCTTAGTTGACTCAAGCTTAGCTGAAGATTCTTAGTTATGTTGAAACGTATTTTGCGCAACAACTGTTGGAGATATCAAAGAACAGCTAAAGATATATTGTAAGTGAAAATGCAACCGTTGCAATCCTCCTTTGATTTTTTTGTTTTGTTTTTAAGGTTTGGAGCAAATTGCTACTAAAATAATTATGTAGATTTCAAGGCTATTTGCATTAATATGGAACTCTTGCGCTTTTATTGATTGTTTGTTTTTTTTTGTTTCCCTCTGCATTTTAATCCTTTTCGTTGATATAAAAGGCCTGTAAGTGAACATCAGTTTAGTTTAAAGATATAAATGATGAAGAAAACCGAAAGAAATAAGTTATGTTACCTTTACTACCAAACTGTCTTAAATTGTCATGTGGATAATCCCAGACTCGCGTCTGTTTTTATCGAAATTTACAGTTGTATCTGATTACTTTGTTTTTCTACAATCGAAGTATTCAGCACGACGTAATGAGGTCGAAATATATCTCCATCTTTATGACTCTATGGGAAAGGGAATAATAGCTGGGTAACGAATTAGCTATAGCAGGCGGCTAATACGACTTCGCCATGAGAACCGCCAACACCTGCATGTATATCGAAGACAGATTTCTCTATTTCAACCGATACAGTATATAATGGTAGCCAAGACAAAAATAAATCTTCGAAAAAATAAAAAGCTATGATGACTCATAGGCATAGTAAGCAGGTTAGTAATAATTTGGTGCGATTTGCAACCCACAGCTACCCTTCATTGGAGGCACGAGCTCTTTGAATTCAATACATTTGGCAACAAACAGGGCAATAATTATATATTAAAGTTACATAAATATGTTAAAGATACACAAGAGTCTGCGTAGGATTTCATAATGGGAATTTAAAACTTCCACATATCAGGTAAAAATATATATTTTAAACGACTGAATTACGGAAAATTCTGACTTAAGTATCACTGGTAACGGTGATAGAACTTACACTACCAAAAGGACACAATACTGCTTTGGACAAAAAATTGGAAATGAAAATACACACCTGCAATGCTGCTGTGTATATAAGATTATTCAAGACTTACTAGATGACTGCTGCTACATTTTGAAATTACGAAGCCGCTTATCAATAAACCATTTTAGTCGTTAGACATACATAGCAACCAGGCCGGAATGGTTGCGAAAGATGAATTAATTAATTGATTAACTCAAAGAGGATGATGTCAGACAAACGACGAAGAGGTTTAGTACACTCTTGGCGACAAAGAGCAAGATCCGGCGAATTAATACTTACATATCTATTTATTCATTTGTATATTTTATTTACATCTAGCTCTGAAAAGAACCACGCACCAAATAAAGGAGAGAACTACAGAAATCAGATATAGACTTTTTCAGTTCATATCCTCGCTTCTGTTGCTGCAATTATAATTACTCAAATATATCAAAGTGAATTTTTGTTAGTCAATGGTCCACGCTACAACATAATAATTCAAATCCTATAGTGAAAGGCAACTCAGATATGTAAGAGATAAATACCGAGAACGGAGGTATTAATCCATATACATCCCGAG